GTGACATGCATCCTGCAACATCACAATTAAATCGCTCAATACGTTTTGATCAATCATTTTTCATCGTTACGCTTTATCATTGTTTATTCTCACTAGCTTATCCACATGCATCGGCATGCTTGAATGTTCGCGATCGGGAAATCGATGATTTCATGTTGCAAAATTGGTATTTACAATAGCATGTGCTCAATTTATTGTTAGTAATTACTGATTTAACGATATATTGATTAAAAAAGAATGGAAATAAAAATTTTTATCGATAGATTGATTGCATATTAAATTAATTTGATAACTATATCATAACTATTATGATGATTGTTTTTTATTTAAATTTTAATTCAACTTTTTTTAAGTTATTGAATTGTTTTATTAAGATAAGAAATTCAAATAACTTTAGATTCCATAGAATAATTCAATATTAATTCATTTTTTAAAACATCGTTACAACTTATAGTAAAGGAAAAATATTAGATTATATTGTTATCGTATTAAATATTAGATTATCGTTTTTCAGTTATTAAAAGTAATTGTTTGCAAGGCTCGATTGTATTAATTTTCATTTAGCATGATCAACTATCGTTATGATTTATCGTATTGTATGATATTTAAGAAAAAAAATCTATAATATTATTATCTAACAATGATTCTTGTATTAATAAAAAGTATTAAAAGTACTATTAAAATAATTAGTCTAGTTTATATTATAGTTCATTTCTCTTATTCTATCTAAATATCTAAAAGTCGGATGAACGATATATTTCATACGGTTTTTTTACATAGATAAATAAATTATAATAATAACATCGATAAATTAAAAATTTTTCACATTGACAGTTATTAACTTTGCTTTCAATAATCACAAATAGATATATCAATGTAAGTGAATCTAAAGTATCCTAAAAATCATATACTATTAATAAAGTCTCAATAAAATAATAAAATTTATTTACCATTTGAAACTTACGTATTTAATGTATGATAAGAACATGTCGTAGATCATTGTCATGAAGTTGATATATAACACTCGATATTGAATGGGCACGAAAAGAAAATTTAAGAACTGTGTTGGTGGCCAAAATATGCAGTCAACCTATAAATTAAAAAAATACCTCGTTAGAGTGATATAGATAATTGGAAAGAAATATTAAGAAATTTTCCTTTTACATCCATGCCAAGTGTTTATCTGCAACTATAAACTGGATTAATAATCATTTCAATATGTCAATTTTAATTAACAGCAGGAACGGTAGCTAAGAAGCTCATCATTTCTTAAAATGTGTCAGAATTATTTTCGAATAGTATAATGCGAAATGTGACCGTCAGCAACTAAACAAACCTGTGGGTCGTAACGATTAGCATTAACATATCCAGTACCCTAATGACTTTCATAAAACTGGATAGCTCGGTGTTTTATGATCGATACTTAAATGCTCGCGTCGCGGTTAAAATCATGTCTAGAAATGAAAATAAGATTGGCCGGGCTGAGAAAGTATGCTCTTATCGGGTATAGACCACCTCGGAGCAGTAGACGTTTAACCGCCGCATAACAGGTCGACAAAAGCGTACCTTCCATGTGTTCATGAGCTTGAGTCTAATTTCGCTGTTGATTTCCTGAAGGCTCTTGTGCTCGAGCATCCCAAGCCCCATGAAGAACATGCCAAGGCAGATCGGACTAGCGATGGTCTGGTCGATCAAGGTCTTCTTTAATATGCTGCCGGCACTCTTACCCGGCAGCTGCTTTTCCAGTATATTGTAGAAGTAGTGATTAAAGGGACCCTGGATGAAACCAACGACGGTCATATTGCGCGTCCGTACATAATCGCAACCGTTGTTCGTTATGTCGTACTCGGTTTCATCTTCACGGTAGTCGAGGCAGCCCTTCTCGTCGTTTGGGAGTCGATCGTTCGTCATCGGCATGCGTTTCTTCAAGAAGTTGCTATGTTGCTGTAAGACATCGCCGGCACCCATCATCAGGCCACAGCTCATCGTATTCGTCACCAGCAGGTATTTGCCTGGACGCAAAACATACGTTGCTGCTTATCTCTGATCAATACACTTGCTGCAATCGGAATTCCTTTCGGGAAAAATCGCAGAGGTTGGATCATGCATTTGCCAAGCGAAATTCTGAGTTTCACATATTGTAATGAGAAAAATCGACTCTTGTACAACAGAAAATCCTTTTGCTAATTTTTTCTATTTACAATTGTTGCGAGCATTTAGTTAGGAAGGAGCTAGATTCGAAAAATTATAATTTTCAGATGGACAAACAGAATTTCGTTGGGCGAAGATTTTTTAATCCTTTTATTAGAATTCCTCTCAGTGACAATTTGAAGAGAAATTCCTTATGCAGCGTGAGAATAATTTGACAAAAGTTTATTTTCTCAATGTTGTGTTTTGGCTTTCAAAACAATTTATTTATTTAAAAAATTGTCGAAATGTATGTCATTAGTAGTTGAAATAAAATTATTTAAACGTTTAATTATTGCAGTGAAAATAAGAAAAAAATTAATAAAAATAAAAAAAAAGAAACTGTAAAAAAATAAACCTTTTGTAATTGATAAAATCTTCTTTTTTTCAACGAAATGTTGAATAGAAAGAAATTAAATTTGCATGCACTAATATAAAACAACTATTATACTAAAGTGATGTAGAAATATGAGGAAAAATTTGTTTACAATCGAACAGTTACTTTGTAAGTATAAACAAAGTATGAATTGAATTTTTCTTTTATTTAACGAAAAATTTGTGAGATTTGTATTAAGATAGACAGAAAGTACAAGCAATTTTAAAAATGAGCATAAACGTTAATGTTATGTTGATGAAATGTTATACATAATTTAAGACAAAAAATTGTTGCAATACATTATCCAAATGCAAATTATCAATGGATTTAACGAGTATCTATGTGGAATTAAGTACAATCGCGAAAAGTGGAATAGATTATAATTTAATTTTCATTCCAAAAGATATAAGATTCAATATTTTTCTTATTTATCTTTTTTAACAAATGAAATAATTAGAAGTTTCTTTTATTAAATCACAGAATATTTGTAATATTGGTTTAACAAATAGATATTCTTATACAATACAACTTTAATACTTATAATAATATATTAAATAAAACAATTCTTTATTGTTACCTAATTCTAATGTAACCGGTCGTGTTGTGCCACTTTCTTGAAGAAGCTTAAAAAAAACATTATTATACTATAAACCACATAGCTATCAAATTTATTTATGTGTGTTTAGCATTATAGAACATTTTTTTACGTGATAATAATTTTTTTAAATAAAATTATTTAAGAGGTAATTTTGTATGTAATACAAAATTCACAACGAAAATTTATGTAATTTAATTTTAATGGATTATTCAAATATGTGAGTATTGTTATATGAGAATTTCTTATTTGTTCAATGTCCACTTAACTTTAGGTTTATTTTGCGAATGTTAAAATATTAATAAAAAAATATTCTATAACAATTTTTAAAATATTTTCGTTAGATAATAAAAAAATTTCAATTTAAATACAATAAAATATATTAAAATTGTCAAATTAATAAATATCATCTATATGGACTTCGTGTTGTAAGAATGAAAAGTTTAGTAATTTTGTATGTCAAAACAATTCACCTTAATGAAAAGATTATTTTGTTTTGTGTATCTATAAAAGTAACGTTGTAATTAATATTGTCAATAATTTATTAATTTTATCAAGTAAAGGTAATTTTTGTTTAAAAAAAAAATTAAATTATTTCCTGAAACTTCTTAATAAAAAGTCTTTCACAAAAAAACTTGTTTATTTATTATTTATTATTATTAATTTTTATAAATAAAACGCTTAGGTTAAAAAAATTTTAATTGGAATTTTCTAGCAATATAATTTAAATTAATATTTATCTTATAAATAATATCTTAACCTACTTTTCATGAAAAAATTTGACTGCCTATTATTATTATTATTATTATTATTATTATTATTATTATATGTATATATACATATTAATTTAAATGTTATCCAAAATTGTACACAGATTTTTAATTTGAATAGTTCTATGGAAAAGAACAAACAATATTAAATCACAGAATGAGCAAGAAATACATTGAAGGAAAAAATATTGGCATTTATACATTGGATGTAGATAATGAATTTTTTATAACTTCATTGCGACATCTAGTGCAGTATGATTATCGTAATTCAACTATTAGTCTTATAGATTGAAAAAAAGATAATGCACTCTTTTAAAATATTTGAAATGAATAATATGTTTCTAGTTTACATTATTCGATCAATATAATTTATTAATATTAATATTTTGTCTATCTTGTATCTATGGTATTATGATTATAATAACAATTTGTTGCTAAATGATAAGATTAAGGAAAAATGTAGCATTTAAACATAAAAACTGTAGTATTTTCATGAGAAGGTAGAAATAATTATATAAATCATTTTTGTATTATGCAAATAATTGTTAAGACATTTTTATTAAAATGACCATATTTTCATAATTATGATATACAACAATGATAGATAATAATAGTTGCAGGAATACATTACACTTTATATACATTAAAAAATTAAATATAGTTATTAGCGTTAAATTGAAAAGTATATTGTAAAAATCAATGTAAAAATTGTTCAAACTGTGATTTATCTTTTTATTAAATATTTCTTTTTACATATATGTATATATTTATTTAAATATATATATATATATATATATATATTATATAGTATTGAATTAGTAATTGAATAGCTATTCATAATTTGATCGTGAACTAAATTAATTTGTCAAAACTTTTTTTTTAATATTTCTTAAATCCGATAGGTTATATATATTTATCAAGTTTCATATGCATATTGTATGCACATGTGCGTGTGTTTTGTATAAAATATACATTTTGAATAATATTTTCTGTATTTGACGACGGAAACACAAAGATTTATCGAATTTTCAAGAAAGTTTATCGACGAGATCAACGTACAAATATTGTAGTTAACGTATAACAAAGTGCAATATTTATTATTGATTACAAAACGTATATGTTACAAATGATCATTTTCTATTTAATTAATAAAAATACAAATGAATTTGAAACGTCTAATGGTTTTGATGAATTTATATGAATTTCAAAGTGCATATACATTTTATGGTATTGTTTCGGTAGTTACTAGCGCTTACTCAACCTGCGCTTAGTAAAGTAGCAAGGATCTCAATAAAATCAGGCTTCCAATAGATATCTCGTGTATAAATATAAGCATTTATGTGTACACGAACGTACTTTGTTTCATACAAGAGCTGAAAATAGTCCGACGGTACTTAAGCTTTCACTTTCCATGGAGAAATGAATCGGTTCGCTTAATTAGTCCGAGCCCGCGCGCTTTAAGTAATCATCCACGTTTCGAAAATTTTATTTTCAGAATCCACTACATTCACTGGCATTACGCGCATCTTTCATCGTGCCAAAATATAATTTTAGTTATTATACATACTATTGATATTCCGTATTTCGACTATGCCATACTTTTTATTTTTACCTGTTACAGCGGGCCATCCGAATAGCATTAGACGTCAAAAAGGGGAAAAATGACGAACGCTAAAACGCGACAAGGGTGCGGTATTTTACTAAGAAAGGAGCAGGGGTGACGATAAATTTTCACCGATTCATTAAGAACAATCGGATTTCCCTTGAAAATTGGGTCGCCGATTGATGGATAGCCAGATCGAGCTGCCCTCGTATGCTCACTTACCGAACATTTTGCTAAATACGCCCATCTCGCGATCCGTCCTACAAGATCGAGAGAATGAGAATGTCAGCGATTATTTAGCAGAAGCTCCACGGGAGATGATAGCCAGTGGGGTGGGCCTGGTCGACCCGGGACGGCTACTAGCCTCCCTGGCTGAGGTCGATCAGTTTCTTGATTCTCTGGCGTTTATGCAGGCGAAAGATCGGCCGAGACTCAAGAGGCATAACTTTTCGCAATTGCGCGAGAGATCTTTATCCGAATCTACCGCCGCTCACGATCGACGGCAGCAGCGCGAGACAGCGAATATTCGTCTTCCTCGAGTCTTCGCTATATCTCGCGATCTTAACTAACGCTTGCCGGCCAGAGGAACGCTTTAAATAACTTGGCGCGTGCAATGCTAGCGGACGCGCCTGCGCACAGGCTCGACTCCCGGACAACCAGAGTTAGCGAGGTGCCGACCGGATGACCTCGCTTTTAGAACAATTTACAAATGGTCTAAATCACACCAATTATACTTAAATCAAAGCATCGATTAGACGATCGACGATAACTGGTAATTTGTCTATTAAAGTGCCCTCGTAATGGAAAATTAAAAATCAGATCTGAAGTTTCAAAATGTTAATAATAATAAGCGAACCATAGTATCGTAAGATATTATTTCGTTTTTAATTTCGTTTTTAGTACTGAAATATTTCCGAGGATATAACATTTGAATTTGTCACCGAATGATAAACAGAACAAAAGAAACTGTTGTGGCATATGTAATAATAAATTAATTATTTAGTAGTCTATGATAAAATCCTGTACAATTACATTCCTCAAAATTTTATTTTTTTTATGAAAATGTCCAAATTGTGATACAATAACAGATCTTCATGTCCTATATATCATTTTACATAGTGCCAATTTAAAATCTAAAAAATCTTACATATTTTTTGTTTATAAAATTAATTTTTAAATTCCCAATAATAATTTTTTATCAATATTATTTTATATGTACAAAACATCCTTAATATGTATTTACTTTACCTACATTTTAAAAATGTTTATAAAATTTTTACTTTATTTTTATTTGTTTAAGCTAAATTATAATTCTAATATAAGTTTAACTATTTCTATTGTATATATAAACAAGTTTTATCATTGATGAATTCACTTAATGGAAAAAATTACAATATAAATACGTATGATAATATTTGAACAATTATAAAACTTGAAATAAATAATCACGAATTTCTTCATATATATTACATTTACAATAAATATATATGTAAAACAAATATTTTAATTTATTACCTTTAATTTATAATTTTAATGCTTGCTTCGAAAAATTTGTCTACACGTTTCTTTAAATGCATTATTAGAATTCGTTTATTCTAATAAATACTTTTTATCTTTTAACTCTTTAATCTTTCTATTGCTGCAACTGCATGAATTGCGCGTTTATAAAATTTAATTATAAAAGATGTAGTTATTTTTTACTGATGAAATTCGCTAAAATCATTAAATTAAATTGTAAAGAACGTCAGAATATATCGATCAATTATTTATTATATATTATCATAGGTCAAATATATTTAACTCATTCAGAAGGATCAAAAATTAAAAAAATAAAGCACCACTTCCTTTAGAATAACTTTAAGTTTTTTATTGTATACATTTCTGGTATATCTTAAAATCCGCACGAAACTCAGTAAAATTATTTAAAAGCAACAGCCTTGGGCTTCGGTAATCCTTCCCTGAATCCATTTCTGAAAAAATACGTATATCGTATATTACATAATTCGACTAGTGATACTATTCGATATTTAGATCGAGGGTAAATATTAATTATATCTTTCATAATTATTTAAATACAATTAAATTAAGTTATAATTTTAATATGATCTAATTAATAGATATTCAATAGTACAATCTATTTTCATTTAAAGGAATTTAAGTTGTATTCACTTTAAATTATAGAAATATTACAACAATATAATATATATTGGGATATAACAACATAATATATTTAATATAAGGGATAACACTATATTACAGTTATAAATCACTCTAAAATAGAGTTACCTATTTGTTATGTACATACATAAAAATGATTTTGATGAATAATATAAATTTTACATTTAATCTGCTGTATTCAGTTGTTTTAAAAAGCTCATAATTGTATAAATTTCTATAAATGGTTTATTTATTATTTAAAATAAAAAATAAAATATTTATCCTATAATGGATGTTGCATCATTTTATTTCTTAGGTATTTTTTAACAAATCAAATTTTTTAAAATCAATGAAATAATTTCTTTTAAATCTTTATAAAAAGTTAATTTCTTATTTATTTATAATACAATTAATTTTGTGACTCAATATACCTTTATTTTTTAAAATAAATTAGTGCACAATCAATTTATTCAATAAAAACTAATTTATTTAATATACCTGAATCTACGGCGAACAATTTTGAGGTGTCGCATACGTCCAGTACCAGTAGTCTTCCTCCTTTTTGCCTTTATGGACCAATTGTCTGAAAAAAAGAAGTCGATGAAACACAGTTTTTACATATATGTATTAATACACAATAGATTTAATATAATTTATAAATACATTTTTAAATTAGAATAAGTTGCTTTTATAAATATATGTAACTGATATGTATATTTAACTTTGATATTTATAGTTTTACCATTTTAAACAGTACCTTTAAATAATTATAAAAATAGCAACGAAAATATATTTTTCTTACGTTGTTTACAAATATTATTGGTATAAACAATAATTCGATACTGTTATAGCAGATAAATTATTTATTTTATGCTGAATCATTTTTTATATTTAATAATAAAACACTGTCTTATATTTAAACTTTCAATTATTGTGATTATTTAAATAGCACAAATTTTAAATACAATTTATATCTGATATTAAGTGATAAGTATTGACAAATGATAACTTACAATTCAATAAATAAAATCATATAAAAATTATAAATTTACAGTGTAACTAATATATAATATATAATTAACAATTATACGAAGATTGCTTAAAAATACTTGAGTACTTACACGAACGCATCTTCTTCCTAGGATATCCACATTGTGCACACTGGGATTTCTGAATGTGATAGGAACTGCGACCACAACGCCTACAGAGCGTATGTGTCTTATTACGCCGTTTACCAAAACTTGAGGTACCCTTTGTCTATAAAACAAAAATATTTGTTGCTATTAATACAATATTTTATACGTTTATCAATTCCATTTAATTAAAAGGTACTAAATGTACATAATTTGATATACAAACGATTGGCAAAAACAATTTTTTCTCATTTGTTAAAATGTATACTTTCAATATATAAAATAGTAGTCGGCGTTTTTATTAATAACAATCACTTTGACAAACACTTTTATTAATTAATATTAAAAAACATATAAACAGGGCTAATCCCTAACCTCTGTCAAAGTTATACTTCTATCGTATTAAACTTTATTACGATTATAAATAAATATAAAATATAATATTTTAAATATTTATAAGCTATATAATAATATTCGTTTATTTAATAATATTGAGATTACAATATATCCATTAGATTTTTCATTTATAAAAATTTATTCTCACCATCTTGAACAAAGAGCACTTGGAAATAGACGAAAGAAATGTGAATGGTTTGTAAGGAATACAAGTGAAATATGAAATTTGAATTTAGAAAAGCGGAACTTACGAATACTTATGGGATATCAAGATAGGTTAATAATTTATTTAATGCGCCAAACTTAAATATTCATCAAATAATAAAATTAATTTCTTACATAAATGCTTAATAAAATTTCTTTTATTTTCTATGAAATATAATATTATTTACAGACAATTGGATGATATAAATGTTTTATAATTAAGAAAAAAACTATTTACAAAACAATTTTCATCATTAAAGTTTCATAATAGTTATTAAAACCAATTTTTCATTAAATTTCCATCAATCTATCAATATCTGTTAAAACTTCACGAGTATGATGACTCCCTGGTGGTACAATATGATTTGCTCCAACTAGACAGTCTTTCAATTCAGTTTCTTCCTCAATAGTACAATCATTACAAATAATACAGTTTTCAATAACACATCTATAACAAAAAATAAACATAATAAATAATTTATCATAAGTTGATAAAAGTTTATTGATATAACTCTTACCTTTCCTTAATTGTTACATTACTCATAATAATACTTTTTGATATTCTTGTTTTCGGATTAACAATAACATTATTACTAATATAACTTTGTTTCAACGATGTTTTCTCACTAATTAATGAATTTTCATCAATTATACAATTTTGTACTTGAGAACTTTTTACAGTAGCAGTTGGAGAAATGTTTGACAATGATACTTCATCTTTTTTCAAATCGAACCACTTATCTACCTACAATTTAATATTAATACCAAACTTATAGATTTAAATGTAATAACTTTTAATTTTACGCAAATTGTTTATAATATTTTGAACTGAACTTTTTTTTAGATTTGAAATGTGTCTGCGTATATGAATGAAAAACTGCATAAATTACTTACTATTGCATTAGCTAGACTATACATTTGTAAAGTGTTAGCTCTTAAGCCACATTTCCCATTTATTATATGAGCATAACATCTAATAATATCACCATGATATGCATCATCCATATCTGTTATGTGATCGTTAAATGCTGACATATTTCTAATTAAATTATCAAGTGGTTTCTCTACTGCGAATTGGAAGATATCTTTTTTTATATCCATTTTTACAACAGATGCATTTTTGTCATCCATTGAAGTGTTTGGTTTATCCAATTGCTTCTTAACAATATATGGCAGTAATTCTCCTTTCAATGTATTAAAGTTCCTAAAACATTGTTAAAAAACGTTATTAAAAATCATCAATGTATTTAACCAGTGTAGAGTTTTTTTAAGAAAATCTGTATACTCACTTACGATGAATTAAGAAGTTCAAAACCCATTTATTAATTACATATAAATGTGCATCTAATAATTTTGAATGAACAATAAAATCAGAATGTTTTTTAAGAAGCTTGTTAGGCATATTGATTGTTTCTTCAAAATCTGAGGCTGATGCCAAAAAGACAATACGTCCCGTTTCCCTATCAATTCCAATTAAATCTCTCTCTGGTTTCTGTTTGCTTTTGGGTCCAGGTTGAACAAAATCTTCAGGAGTCTTGGGAGTTTGGAGAATTAATGCAGTTATACTTGCATTATGCTTGCGATATAAATTTAAAGTTTCAGATATGTCAATATTCGCAATTAAATCAGATGAAATAACTACAAAGTCTGAATGGATTTTATCATGAATAAATCTAATCGAATCGGCAGTACCAATATCTTCTGCATCAGGTATTCCAATTACATCTGTTTTGATGGTTAAATTAAGTTTGTCTATTGCTGCAACGACATCTACTTTTACAGCATCCGACACAATTACAATTGTTTCTGCAAAATTAGATTGCTCCAAAAGTTTGAGTGGATACCAAATCATTGGCATATTTGCTATAGGCAGTAAACATTTTGGTTTTCCTGCTGTAAGTTCTGTCATACGAGAACCTTTACCACCAGCAAGTACTACGGCTTGAAATTCATTTTGATGGACCATTTTGAATCTGCAAATTAAAATATTTCATAGGGAAAAAAATTCTCCTAAAATTAAAAAATTATAAAATATAATAAACATAATAACATGAATTAATACAAAATTATATAGGCTTCTTTCGTAATTACTCAAATTTATTTATCTAAAAATATTGCAATCCTAGAAAAGTAATCAAATTGCATTACAAATTCATTGTTATCTTAACTATCTATACAATTCATTAATTTATATAACTAAATCGTAAGATCTACTAAATTTTTAAATCTACGTGAGTGTAACACTTTGAATCCAAAGTCTCGAGTTAGCTAGGTTAAGCATAATATTAATCATCAATAGATTTCTACGTGCGTATATTATTTAGCATTATGAGAGACAGAAAAGAAAGAGACATCGAGTGGTGATGCTAGAAACGTATTATTGTACAAAAATTTTTCAAAATATATCAACAAATATAATTATTATTTTCACATGAAATTCTCAATTTACTTTACTTAAAAATTTGCTTACTTAGAATTTATTCGAGAATATTTTCAATAATATTTCGATAGTAGAATTAACATTAAATGAAATTTATCAATTACTAAAATTTCTTTTCCTTTCTTAAAGCAAACAAATATTTACATTACTGATTTATAAAACAATCTATTATGTTTTATTTTATATTAAATATTAAAATACATACTTTTGTTATATAATAGTTTGCTATTTTGTTTTTATATACTATTTAATATAATAATAAACGTCTAATTAATTACATAACATAAAAAATTCATATTATATTTCGTTTTGTTTACATTTTACATCTTATCAGTGTAATCTAATTATCTCAATTGACATTTTCAATGTATCATTTATTAAAATATATTAGAATATAAATGGAATGTAAACCATTTAAATTTTTATTATGGATAGATTTTAAATCAAAATATTTCGTTATTTATTTTATTTTCCGAGCAAAAGCATTATTTGTTAATACTTTATAAATATAAATATATTTCAGAGATAATAAAAATTATAAGTAAATATGTAAAATAGTATTTGAAAAATTCAAAGTTCTTGATTCACTTATAATAATTCTGATATTATCTAATCAAATTAATGAATGTGCATTATTACTTTATTAATATTTTCTAAAGCACCTGATTCACTTTTTAATATCCATTAATTACAGAAATATTTTGTACAAAGACTGAGGAATATTGTAAGCACGTCGATTCTGCAATATAAATAATAAATCTTTAAATTTGAATGGTAAATGAATAGAACTTTCCTTTGAATTACATTGAAAATCATATAAATTTCTAAGATTTTCATTCATTTTCATTTGCAAAATACGATCGTTCTTAGCATAAGAATTGTATTTAGAAATTAAATTGAATCACATATTTATAAGATTATACAACTTGCTATTTAAATTTTTACAGATAATGCCACTCTATAAAAAAATAATATTAAATAAAGGTAAGCATAACGATGATATAATAAAGGAAATACATAAAGAATTATAAAGTTTTATTATTCGTATATATATTTTACATATTTCACTAATCATATATAATCTCTTATAAATAGGATCCTTACATATGTTTAGACCCGCACGATTGCTTTTCCGATATTGCTACCTTTCAACATGCCTGTAAAGGCCTTAAACATATTTTCAAAACCTTCAGTCACTGTCTCCTTGTAAATAAGCTTGCCTTCCCGAATCCAAGTTAGATTCTTTTCAATTCCTTCGTTCCATCGATCTATCCAACGATAAACAAGGAAGCCTTCCATTTTTAATTGCTTGAATATCATTGCTTTTTGAATAACCGTAGCTTTTAATAAATTGTTGCTATTCCACTTACTACCAGTGTTGTAGGTCGAAATACTCCCACAAACTGAAATTCTGCCGAACTCATTCATTTGGTGAATTACACTGCTAGAGATTTCTCCACCTACCTATAATTATAGGATTAAATATTTTTCACTGTTTATAATTTACAAAATTTCTAATAATTATTTTATCAAATCAAAACTATTATGAATCTTATAAATCAACTATACTGAAATATGTTAAAAAGATTTTTTATTACGATAAATTTATGTTAAATTAATGATTTAATTTTCACAATTGTCATATTAACGTAAACACGGCTTTTATGTATAAGATCTAATAATATTTTATTTTTTATAAATATTTAAATAGGATATTGTATTACATTATCAAAATAGCAGTCAACTCCTTCGGGTGCGACGTTGGACAATGCAACATAAACATCCTCTGTTTTGTAATTTATCGCATGATCGAAACCCAATTCATCGACGATCCATTTGCATTTAGCTTCAGATCCCACGATGCCAATAACTTTTAAGCCTAATATCTTCGCTATTTGGCCAACGTGAGATCCCACTGCACCAGCTGCACCGCTTACTACGACTGTCTCACCTGCTTTTGGTTTACATATTTCCTCAAAACCAAAATAAGCTGTATTTCTATATAAAAGTAAATGCCAAAATTATCTATATGATCGTCATTCGGTATCTTTTGAATAAATGTACCGACAAATTTCTTAATCTACATTAATCTAAAGTAAAATATTCATTATTAATTAATGATCTAAATTTAAATTGAATTTCAGTAAAAACGTAACTTCTTATTTATTTACATTTTTATTTATTTTATTATTATTTTATTTTATTTTATTTTATTATTAAATTATTTATTTATTTATTTATTTATTTAAAAACGTAACATAACTAAAAACGTAACTAAATACGTAACATTATAATTTTTAACGTTAAAATAAAAGTAATTAATTTTAAGAATTTAAACAGAATTTAAAAATATATCTGGCATTATATACGCGTATATAAAATAGTGCAAAGTGTGTCACAAGCCTTTTACCCTGGCATTCCCAACATTCCTAAAGCAAGAGAAGCCGGTAAATCATCAAAATCCGGTAGAATATAAGGTGATATTATATAACTTTCGTCGAGTAGTTCAGGATTGAAAACGCTGTGCGTTGTCCAGCCAATATTTGCAAAAATCTTTTTACCAACTGGCCAATTTGGATTTTTTGACTCCAAGATCTTTGCTACTTGAGTCCCGATCATCGTTATATCTGGACTCATAGTGTCACTATAAGGTCTCATATATGGATCCACAGAGAGATATTCCGCTTCCACTAGAATCTCTTAAACATAAATAAATCACAAAATCTTTAAATTAAATTATCATTTTCATAAAAATTGTTTCGACAACTATTATAATTATTATTATTATTTTATTGACGCGATAATGAAATATATGAAAATAATATTAATTTTTACATATGTATTAAAATAGTTAATAATTTGTGTGCGTATATGTATAACGTTTAATATTTCTGTATTAATCATATAAATCAGTAATTAGTAATTATAGTGTTTAGTGTTAGTGCATTAGTCGGATATTCTCAAAAGTGTAACAGATATTAACAACGTTACAAGAATTTTATCTAATATCGAAATTTTATAATTAAGAATAATTTTTAAATATAAACTACATTAATTTCATAAAACAATTTATATTATTTTTAAAAATAAATTATTTTTTATTTTTAGAACAAAATTAATAATATTTATTAAAAATGACAAATAATTATAGGAGATAAAGCTTTTATTATGTGAATATATTTAATTTTAACGTGAAAACAAAATATTATTGATTAAAAATAAATGCTTATTGGCAAATATTGTTTTTTAAAGAATTAAAAAATAATTTATGAATAATTGATAAAATTAGCCATGTAAATAAAATAATTATTATCTTTGTGTTATATAAATAGTTCAAGTATTATGTAACATCATTATTAAACACTTTTTATCGGCACTTATTTTTTTTAATACATAGCGAATATTTTATGAATAAGTTATATTATATAAAAACTTTTGTCAATTTTATTAGTATATGTTGAACATGTAAATAAAGTTAATAAAGTCATTTATTAAAAAAATTGATACCAGTTGATCTATTTGATAAATAAAATATGTACTTCGAAAGATAATGTAATATAATATGATTATTACAAAAATATCACAATAATATTAATACGAGCAATTGATAAAATTTCTTATATCATATTTCAAAATTGTATATATTATTGTATGTATTACTTTAGAGTATTATTTATTTTCAGTCAATATACAGTAATTATCACAAGTATATAAAAACTCACTGATAAAGATGAACTGTTTTTTCATTGATAATACAATATAATATAATATAATATAAATATATATAATATAACAATAAAGTTTAAAAATCATTGAATCGATTTTATAAATTTTTTAAAAATTATTTACAATTCTAAAGGAAATATTAGGAAGTTTTTTTTTAATGAACTAAATCGTAAAGAGTAGAAACACTTATAAAATTATTAAAACAAAATTGTATTTAATTTAAATTAATTATTTGTCAATATACAGCTAATAAGATCTACATATTAATATTGTATTTCCATAAAAATTCGTGTTGCCTTTTATATATTCTATTAAAATAAATCGATATAGATTAGTGAAAATAAAGTAAAAAATTGTTTAAAAATTATACAATAGAAATTTTAAATAATTTAAAAAAATTGTTTTCTTATAATCAATAAATTTTGTCTAAATATTTATACATTCTATTAGGAGATAAAGACAAATTTTAAACAAATAATGACTATATAATGATAATGTTTTTTCATTTAATTAAGTTCTTTAAAAATATTTAAAAGTATGTTATAAGATTTTGTTGCTTATTAAATTTTAAATTGGCATATTAAAATACTAATATTTTAACTATCTAAATTAATTTTTCTCTATAATAAATAGGCAATATTACATTTGTCCATTATATAAAAAATACGCGCTTCGATTATTTTTAATATTATTTTTAATTCATGCGTACGAGGACAAGTAATTTAATTGTTGAAAAATATTACAAAATAAAGCATTAAAAATTTATTGTTAATTCAAATATCTTACCTCCATCCGTAACAGGTGGTACTTCAAATTCAACCAATGTTAAATCATCTTCCTGTGGTTCATCTTTAAAATTTTTGGTTAGTATATACTTTTTACCGATAACCATGACGAAGAATATTTACTGATTTACTATACGATTTGGTTCTAAAAAGACAAACGTATTGATATTTAAAAGTATGCGTATTACAAATACAGCACACTTCGGTAATTTATAGTAATAAACTCAATAAGTTACACTAAATTCAATTAAGCCAATAATTATACAAGGGACAGTAATAATAACAATTCTAGTAGTTTATTGTGAATTTATTAGGTATATTGAAAAATACGAATAAGAACTAACGACAATGTGTTACTCATTTTTTAAAAATTTGAGAATTCACTTACACGTCCTGCTTAAAGCTTCTATCGGTAAATATTACTCATAGTTTGTTAATATATGCACCGCGATATTTATCAAAAGATAAACTGTAAAATTAATCTTAATTGAGATTACTTTATCTGTAAATATTATACCACTAGATGGCGTCTATATAATGTAAATAAATTTAAAAATCGTGTAATTATAGTGTAAAGGAAAAATTTTCATTTGTCAAGTTTATTAATCTAAGAATAATGTCGCAATATATTATAACATTCTTTGCGATAATGGCATTTTAATAAAGAGTAATACATAATTGATTGAAAACAGGTCTAATTTAGTAGCAATATTTAGCTGATGCACATATTAAACTAATTTAATATATTGGTAATTATTTTGAAAATAAAACAGATTTAAGTAAACAACATGATAGCTAGGGAAAAATTTAATTCTGCTAACGCAATGCCTTATGATTGTATATAAATGAATTTCATAATTTAGAAAATTAAAATATAATTAATTGTTTATATTTAGAATGTAATGCTATTATTTCGATGATATTGGGGTAAAAAATACAAAATAGAAAAAAAAATATGGAATTTTAAAAGATTATACCATTATGGTGGTGTAAAAATAAGATACGAATTATATCATAACAAAAATTATTTGACAATGATTAATTTAAATGATTTTAAATGTGCATACGTTTATATTTAGACATTATATCGGTGTATTTATATCAAGATATCGTACTCTAATGAATAGTGAATCATGTTAACATAATCTTATCTAAAGCACGTTTGTATTATTCTCTATTAAATTAATTAAAGAAATTTACAAATAGCTCAACATTCTTATTTAGTTAATTATTAAACATTAAAAGAGATATTAAAACATTATTTAACAGATAAATCAAATTTATTAATTTTGTAAAAATTTTATAGTAATATATATATATATATATATATGCAAACATCAAAACAAATTATTAAATTAAATATATAGAAAACAATTAATATATTTATTTAACGTGCCATTATACAAATCGTTAATAAAAATTATGCATTAAGAGTAACTCGTTTCAATTTCTGCATTATTTCAAATTAAATATACAAAATATATTAATTAAATTTTAATTATACAAGACGTCATTTCTGATAGTGTGAATTTCTAATCTAAATCTGCTGATATAATTTCTGAAATTCTTGAAAACATTAAAAAATTAAGTATTTTTTCTTAATTATCGTCAAAATAATATCGCATATAAAACAGCACATTAAATTATGCACATTCAATTAAATTTAACAAATTAATAAAATTGTTTAATAAAATGTTATTTATTTATGTGACAATTTATTATTTTTATTGTTATAATATTGAATATTTCAGACACAAGGTTTGTTGAATTAAAATTAAAGTCGATATATTTTCCAATGATATATTAGATGTATCCGATTGTTAACCACGACGAAACCTTGATTTTATTAAAATAAACATAATTACGTATAAATTGTACTGTTATATTAATGTGTGTACACTGTACATTTGAAAACTTAAATTATCAATTAAATTTATGTTAAGAAAGCAGAAATTCATAATATACTTTTATTTATGATATTAAGGTAAAATATAGAAATAAAAATTATCAGAATATTGTATAATAATTAATTTGTTTATAATTATTTAATATTGAAATTTTTATTTTATGATTATTAATAGATATTAACAACGTATTAAATACATAATTTTAATGCATTCCGGAATCTGAATACTTTCTTATATATATTCCTATATTAATTCGGTAAACTGTTGATAAAAATTTATATTTATCAGAACAAAATATTTTGTTCTCACTTGGCATAGAAATTAATTTTGAGCCAAATATATTGATATTGAAAAATCTTGATTAGCACCAATCAAAATATCTGCATAGATAATATTTTTAATTATTTACTTTAATATTGTTAAATCAAAGCGTTTCTCTAGATAATAAATATTAATTTATAATTCAATTAATTTTAATTTAACGTACTTACGAACAATTTACGATTGTTAAGATTCGAAAATTTGGCTGTCAATCATTTACAATGTAAATAATTCCCAGCAGTTGGAACGTTGTAAATAAAAATAAATTGAATTCTGTTAAAATGCTGCCACCTTTTGAATTATTTGTTATTTTGACTAAAAAAATGAATTATGAGAAATTGAATCTGTTATCTCGTATGTAATATTAAGGTAAATTTAATAAATCAATTCATTAAAATTTATGGTTCAGTTTTGATAAATAATACATTTTTATTATGCGCTCGTAATAGTAAAAAATCTAAATATATTTGTAAATAAATTAAAGGAAAAAATGATAAAAAATGAATAATAATTTAAAAGCCAGATGTCCTGTTTCGTTTTTCAGTAAATTGCTTCATGTAAAAACAAAAAACAATACGAAAATGACACGGTTAATATGATAGAAAGGACAAGAGTGCGGCAGTGATTTGCTTAATTTTATTTTACAATTACAGTTGCCTACTTTCTGAAATATAAAATATGTACAGAATTTGAAATATCGTACGAAGCAGCTAGTCGAGGTTGATGGTTGTATTGATTCCCGCAGCTTTCAACATTTTGTCGGAACTTTTCGAGACGCGGATCCGTTCCTCGGGTTTTAGGATTTCGGCGATGATTTTCTCATCACTGAGACGCTGTTCCGTGAGCAATCGCAAGCCACCACTAGACGGTATCTGAGATTTGACGATGACGATGCTCGGTGAATCGATCAAGGTCGTCGAGCTTTCCTCCGTGACCACGGATAAATGATCGGTTTGCGGCTCCGAAGATATCGCAAGTCTTCCATTTATTTTCGCCTCCAAAGGTCTAGACGGCTTCTGTGTTGGACTCATTACGTCCGCGGCATTCGATATAGGAACTTGAGGCGAGACTTGCCTATCCACTACTTTATTCACAGTCATTTTAAGAATTACCGTCGGTTCCTCGTAGAGCTAGAAGTTTTTGATTCTGTATGTTTATATTACACTACATCATTACGAATTATTCAATATAATCAATCGTTAATGGCTTGCATTAAGCGTTCTCTTAACTTAATCAAAATATTGGGCGTGACTGTACTTACTGCATTGAATGAAGAATCTAGGAACAATTCTTGAAGGAATCGCCTCGCTTGTATTCTGTAGGTATTATTTGCCAAGTGAGCGGCTACCTCGGAGTATATACACACATCCTGCAATCGAGCAAACATTATCAATACTGTTAATTAATAATCATGACAACCTCATTATATAAACTCTATACAACGACGTTTTATTTACCTGAAAAATATTAGGATATTGTTGCCTTAGTCTAAGTAGCGTCTGTCGACTATGTCTATAAAAAACTGGATTCGCTAAACGCTGCGTATGCCTTAAAATCTCTCTGTAAAAGAAAAATGCGTAAAGTATAGTATAAAATAACGCATAAAAAAACTACTTCGATTAATTTGAATTTCAAAAAAAAAATTATTTCACCATTCATACTTTAATTTACTTTCAATTTAACTTACTTTCGAGTCTTGTCAGTGGGTCGGCGGGAGTCTTGTTCGGCACCAACCGAGTCGTTGGAGATGCTCCTCTCACGAAAGCATACGAGGCACAATCGGGAATGATCGCTCGTCGTCTCGTATTCGGAGCTCGATTCTTCGTCCATATCGCTTGCGTTCTGCCTCGTCGTCGAGATCGTCCTTTGCTTGGGCTTCTCATCTGGCAGCGCAAGATAATTTTGGGAATTGGGATACTCCGAGTCGCTTTCGTTGATGCTCAGTCTGTTTGTCGTCGTGACCTCATCGGAGCCCGTCTTCATCCTGCTCTCGAGCACTATCGCGGGGATCGGTGACAGACGTTCCGAGTCGCTCTCGTTTGGGTTCTGCTGGTGCTTGTCGGTGCGAAGCAATCGGGTTGACGATCTTCCGTCTTCGTGCAATATCGACGATTCACTCGCACTAACGTTCTATAAAAATCGGATTAAGCCAATGCACACCGACGATAATTGAAATGACATTGGAATTTTTTATTTTATGTCGAATTTTTTTACCTGAAGTCGCTTAGACTCATAGTAAGATCGAGACTTGGTCTTCTCGAGGAGCGTATTTGAGGGTGTAATCTCGGAAAATATCGAGCTGAGTTTTCGTGGCAGACTGATGCCCATGTATTGGGGATTATCGCTGTTGTCCTGAATCGTCGACGTTGCGATTGAGGATTGCGGTGGCGGGGTTTCTGGTGCGAGTACTGTATCAGCAATCCAGCTACGGGAGGATTCGAACTCTGACAGACTTTGTAACGAGAGCCTCCCATCTAAACTGTACATCTATTTAAGAAAGAAGTCATTCACGATTTTAGTGCGTAGCAAGGAAAACGACAAGCAAAAACCGTAATAAAGTACTACGCAAAAGAACATTAAGAATATGGTGCGATTGCTAAGACAAAAAAAAAGTGAGAGAGTTTGGTAATATTGAGTAGAGCGAGTGCAAGGTCAGGAAGGAGGGCGAACCTCAAGACTGCTATGTGAGTAGCTTGGTCTGCGATGTCGCTGCAGGCTCCTCAGCTTGGCGTAACCCTCGGCGTCCTGTTGGCTGAGTCGCTGTACACTAGAAAGAGGACTGGGCGTCTCGCCTCGCTCCGGCAGGGCGTATCTCCTGGAGTCGACGTCAGTTGCGGCGCTCTCAGACCTGTTCCTCTGGCGCTTAGCCATCGTCTCCGACAGCTCGGGCTTCCCGTCGCTGAGGCTGCGATGGTGACGCTGTACTGGCAGAGGACTCGGGGATCGCTGACCCCGAGCACCGCCGCTTATCGGTTGGACGATCGGACAATATTCGCCCCTCTTGTAGCGCACACAAGGCCAATTGTGGCCGATGAGGACGTCCGCACCCGCGCGATTGCTACTTACAAGGCTTAGTGCGTACATGGCGGTCGCGCGTACCGAGTAGTAGGCGCACGATTCTGCCATGGAGGTTAGCAATTCAACCATGCCGTGGTTGCTCAGCTGCTCGACGCCGGCGTACGAGGTACCCGCGTGACCCAGTGCCCAAAGCGCTGATTTTACCTTCATTAATCGACCTGAAACGAGCTTATGTTCATAACCGCTATCCAGTCCATGTTAATGCAAATACACAATGGGGGGTGAGCGGAGAAAGGAGAAATAGAACGGTCATCATGTCAATTTCACTGCCATCGTGGTGATAGATGTCAATAAATTTTGCTTTATAGATAAGATATATATATACAAGTTTTATCAGAAAGTACATTCGACCAATCAAGTAATATATTATGCATTGTAAGGAGGGGGGGGGGGATTTGGTAAACAATGGAGGATTCTATGAATCGTGTTATTTAAGTGCGTGTATGCGTATTGAAGTGCATACGTATTGAAAAGTATTATTAGGAAATAAGTTGGAAACTTTTTTCTCGCAAAATATCATGAATGGCTTTCTGTTGTAAATATCGATTTTTGTTACTTACGATATTAATGCAAACATTTTTCAGCCTTATTGCAGCTCTTAATCTTATTATCACATAATTAAATACCAAAAGACATAAAATTGGTGATGGAATCGAAAATTCATTCATACTGGAATGTACCTTCGAGGCCGTAGACGTTCTCCTCGCGTGAGTCGAGCTCGCTTCTCCAGCTTCTCTCCGGCGTCGTCCTCCTCGAGTCGTCTTGACTGAGCTTCCTTTTGACCTCGACCAGTGACTCGGTCTTCTGACTCACGCGGGTCTCTAACCGATCGGTACTTTCCGAGTCGACGATTGTCTCCAGCCTGCTACACTCGAGGTCGTTCTTCTTCTCATCGCCCCTGCCATCCTCCTTTGAACCTGGACAGTCCTTGCCCTGGGCCGAGCTACCGCCGCCGTTGTTGCACTCTATCCTGAAACGCTGGACGATCCTCGCGCACCTTTGGAGTACGTTCCGTCTGAGCAGCAGCTGCAATCCGAGCTCGTGCTGCACGAGCTGACCAACGAGGTGTGGCGGTACGAATACGTCCTTAGGGAGGACGCTGCTACCGTTGGTGCGCCTGAGGTAGCTACCGTTCTCGCCGCGTTGCCGACGAGTTAAAGAGTCGTGGATTTCGCGCTCGACAAGGCCTGCGTAACGTTCCGCGAGACCTCCCGATTTCATCCACTTCTCGAGCTCCTCCGCTGGCGACGGCAGCGAACCGAAAGCTGAGCGGAGCGAGTACAATCGGATTTTCAGGAGGTAGCCACGATCGCCGAGATTACGCAGCCAATCGTCCCAATTTACCATGCACTTCTCCTGTTTAAAATTTTACATCAGGCTTTTTGTTAATATGCACGCGTTGTGACTTTTAAATGTTGCCTAATTCAATTCAAGTATCTAAACATTTTTTCATCTTAAAGAATAGAGCGAAGGGTGATTTATGGCAGAATTTTAAAAAATGATCAACAATGCTACATATGTATATATATATATATATATATATATATATATATATATAAATAAGTTATGTACTAAAGAAGTGAATTCAAAATTTAATATATTACTTCTGTAGATAACAAAAATTTCAGCTTTTTATTAAATTATTTTATAGTTCAAATTATATTTGAAATATTAATATTTTCTCGACATATATTCAAAATAAGTTTATTTTAATAATTATTTTGTTTGTTTATTAAATCTTTGATAAATTATACAACATTTAAGATGGATTACATGTTAGAGCTTAAAACGTAGTAAAAAAAAGGAATAAAAAATACTTTTATTAATAGTAACTACAAAATATTGATGTGCTGAGATGAAATAATGAATTTTTCAATAAGGTCCTTCTATCGAATCTCTAGCCTTTATTAAACTTGAAAATATTTATGCGCAATATAGTTTAAATACCAACGTAGTAAAATTATTAAAATAATATACTTTTATATTATATTAAACAGTTACTAATCACTTTCAAATGCAATAAATAGCTTGTCAATCGCAGAATTTCATGCTTTAACTAAAGTGCAACATTTAAATTAAGTCGGAGGGTTTCTTAGATAACTGTGATATATATATATATATATATATATATATATATATATATATATATATATATATCTTACCTCTGATTTCTGAAGCAAGATTTCAAGATACTCGAGCTCTTCGCAAGCTTCATGAAGTGCTTCGAGTGCCGCAAACGCCACAACCCTGCTACTGTCGTTCAGTCTATTTAATAGCAATCTAATGGCCCACTGATGCGCACCCATTATCCTGACCCTCAATATAATCCTGAGAAACTGCGTAGCGTACATTCGCGTGCTCTCGAGGGGCGCATCCTGTACTATCTTAGTCATGACTCTCCGATTAGGACCTTCCCTCGTATAATCCAGACTTGATATTATGAGCTTGACGTAGCAGTCGTGTTTGGTCGCCATGGCAAGGTCTTGTAAATTCTCGAGAAGATTAAAGCGATGGAGGACGTCGGTACCGCGCACAGAGTGACTCAGCTGTCCGATGAACAGAAAGTACTTTTGACAGCAGCTGGTGGACACGTGGCGAGGAGAGAAGAGACAGTCATGCGCGGATTGAGCCAGTCGGATGGACATTATTTGCTCAGCCACGTCACCTATGAGTTCGTTGAGGTAGCGGGTGCCGTCAGGTTCGTGGAGCTCCAGAAGGAGATTGATTAGTTCACAGCCGGCTAAGGTTGCCTCGCGAGCCATTAAAGCGTATGTCGCCAATTCGATTCGACTGTATTGATTCGATGATGGCTTAAAATATCTAAAGTAAACAAACTTACAAACTTTTTACAATCGTCTTAATGATAGGTTAAAAAGCTATTAGAAAAACGATTGCTCATAAAATTGTGATAATAAAATGCTAGTGCACCTAATCATTTTTAAAGCAGTCATTGATTTATTTACTTGAAAACTTTTGTAATTGTGATTGCGTTACCACAAATTACCAAATTCAAGAAAGATACCAGAAACCGGGGCACTATCACTTTATACGACGAGCATTGATTTTCGAAATGTCTTTAATAAGCTATAACAAAATTCTCTGTTATCAATCTAAAGTTTGGCTCAATTTATTCGAAATATACATACTGCAATGTCATTTATAAATGAATATTAAAATTAAAAGGTCAGACTTATCCAACGCCATATTCTACGCACCTAACGAGTTTCTTGATGAACATGCGATGATCGGAATCGTGAAGCAGCCTGAACGCGTTGTCCCTAGACCTAAGTATCGACCTGACTGCCGACCAGTTCCAGGCGAGTGCATCCTTTGAGCTGAGCACCTGTGAATCTTTAAACATCTGCGAAAGGGGCGACTCGCGGCGCAACCAATGACGTATCGAGGACTGTCGTCGTAGGCTACGGGGTAGTCCGGGCCTCAGCCAGGCTCCCGCCTGCAGGAGTCGGTCCATGAAGAGGCTGGCCGGCGTCGGTCGGCGACGCATCATCGCGTGCATGCGCCCAAGTATGGCGACGGCTGCGAGAGCCTGATGACGACCCGCGCTCGCATGCTCTAGGAGATTTGGCAGCGGCGGTGTCAGATCGCAGACCTATTCGCATCACCAAGAAAATGCCTCAGGCGATTACTATAGCGCTCTTCATACTTCGGCATCATAGAGACAAGCGGATCATTTAAGATTTCACAACAAACCATACTTTTTCATTCAAGCTACAATAAATCAACGTTGTTAAAAATTATTCAATACTTTATGTATATTTTGGCCTCTTTGCTTTACTATCCATTCTATTTGGAACACGTTGATTCGTTGTTTTTTACTGTGACGGTCAACTTTCTAATTGCCCATATACAGAGTTTATCAAGATGTACGTTTTAAAATTCATAAATAAGATGAAATTTTGAGTAATTACATGTTCATAGACTATAAAGAGCACAAATAACTAAGTGTATGGATCATTAATATTATTTACATATTAATACTTATAAGTTAATCGCAACATTTCACATTACTTATATAAGAAAATATATAATTTTCATAATTAATGTCTCATATTGGCATTTATAGCTATTGAAAATTGAAAATTAACTTACTAGCTCATATTAATTAATCGTACCTCAGGAGGAAGAAGCGAATGTGCTAAATGCAGCAGTGCTCCAAGAAGAACCGCTGCTCTTACAGAAATGAATGTGTCAGAGGAAAGAATAGTTTCAGCTAGTGCTCTGTGTAATCCACATTCTAATAAAATATATACTAATAAAGCTAAATGCAATTCCGTTATGTTTGGACAGTGCGCTGTTAAGGGAGGCAAAATAGTTCTGCCCTCAGCCGCGACAAAACCTTCCGACAATTTCCAGGAATCCCTAAAACGACTCGGATCAACAGCTGCAAGAGCTACGTCGGGCTCATCGGTCCACGCCGGTAAAGGTAGTCCCAATAATTCGTATAGAAGCTCTAAAACAGCTCCTCTTACCTGCAATTTAATTTTACAATTGTTATTTGAGCACGCCAAATGTTGATAATATATTGAGAATATTATTTATTGACATTTTGTTATAGATTGTTCAAGGCAATCAAGATTTATAAAAAATCTGAAACACAATGAGATCTGTGTATGTATATATAGATATATATTTTTTTAAACTGAATACTTTTATTTAATATAATTAAATTATAATTATTTAATATCGTTGAATTAAAATTGTTTATAAAAATTATTGAGATATATATATAATGCGTCCATTATTAAACGTCCAATATCATTAAATAATTGAGTTCATCTACACTGAAAAATTAATGTAATATAACGTAATATACGAGTATAATTTTCAATGTAATCTCCTAACCCTCGAATGATCTTTAAAAAATAATATAAAAATTATTTCCGAATTAAGCGAGAAATGACGGACCTCAAGCTGCTCGACGTATAAGATATCGGAAATTGCTTTGAGGCCCGAATTCTCGTTTGGATGGCAAAAGTGCAGTAGACCAGAATAAGATCTTAGTACGCTGAGCAGCGCGTGCTTGCTGCTGCCAAATCTCTGATCCAATTCTTTTTTAGGCCGTTCTAGGTTGACGGATTCGAGCTCGCAGTAGGGAGCAGCGAGACACAGGAGCGAAACACTGCTCCTCGTTTCCGGATTGGCGAGCAGTCGTAGAAGGACGCCGACGACTGCCTCCGTAATCGCTGGACTCTGGCCAGTCGTGGTAGCGCGCGCCAATGCACCAATACCACCGCAACTTATAAGGACGTTCGAGTTTAACACGCCGAGCTCACAAAGCACGGCTAGGAACACGCGAAAAGCTCGGTCCTTCTCTTCTACATCTGTAAGCATTATTTATAATAAGTATATTTAGCTTTAATGATAGTAAGTTAAATTAACAATGGCAAATAATATATTCAATCAGATCAATCGTCTCCATTATGATACTAAGGTATCGTAGTTTTATGAAATTCTTTATTATACTATTATTTTTTAATATTTTACGAACTATATATTAGCAAAGAAAAAATTAAATTAACGAATGTGATCAATATTTCTTTTGTAATATTAAAATTTTTTAAATTATTAGTTTTACTAATGATAAAAAGATGTCTTTCAATTTTATTTACACTTTTTTTTAATACTTAATTTATCCCTGCCTGTAACCATATTAGTAAAACAATGTTAATGCAAAAATTTATCAATCGCTTCGAGTGTCTTTCTTTTCATCGTTGCTTTTATTAATCAATTTTTAATCGTTTGAAAAAGATAAAATTTAATATATACTTTGAATAAATGTTTCTATACCTCCACTAATAATGCTAATAAGTGATCGAGCTAGTGCTGGACTAAAATGTTTCGGAGCTAGGACGAGGATTCTCCTGATAAGTCTTAAGGCTTGTATCCTTTCCATTTCATTGCGTATGTTGACATCCATACTGCGAGCAATGAAATATGGATACTGTAGCTTATTAATTGCTATAACATCTTGTTCCTTTCTGAGCATATATCGTACTGCTCTGAGAGCGGCTGCTCTGACTTGCGTCGCTTCGTGCACAAGTCCCACGCGTAAACTGTAATAAGATATTAGACGTACAATTAACATGCCACTTATACATCTCTATTGGCAATCACCCTCACAACAATGAGCACGAAATATTTCCAATAAATTCTACTACAGCTTAAAAATGACTGGAAAATTATAATTATTTATTAATTCTTAAAAATTTTCATTACTACTAAAAACTTACCAACAAAAAAATTCATCCGCACTGTATCCATAATCTGGAGCATCAGTTTCGTTAACAAGTTTAGTAATAGCATTGAGATATGCCAACTTTTTGGCACCAGGCATACCATTTTGTTGACATAAATTGACCAAAGTCTCTGTTATATTATCTTTCAAATCTATAAGATTGAATAAAATAATTAAAATTACATAACAAATGAATGGATTATTTCTAAAAGATAATTAATTTGTTCACCAGTTACAAAAGGAAGTTATTTTATTAAAAACTTAGAAAATTGTAAAATCGCTTTTTAATAATACAACGAATATTCCAAAAATATTTTATGAATAAATAGAATCCAATAAATAGTCCATTTTTTATGTATTCAACTTTTGATACGTATTAAAAGCAATAGTTTTATATTTATTTTTAGATTTCATAATCGCTGAACATGTCAATTTTAGTTTTAAAACAAATGTAGAACTTTTAATACACAGACATACATTAAAGTAATTCTATTAATTACTATAATAAAATATATTAGATATTATTTATTAACTTGCAGAAATGGTTAACTAATAATTTAATAATATTATATTTTATATAATAAGAATTATTAAAAACAAAAAAGTAATTCACATGAATGGTAAGAAAATTATATACACTAAAATCTTAATAAAGCATAAATTTATTTTAAGTGTTTATTATCGTCAACTGAATTGTCATTAAAGCTGAATTATAATTATTCTTAAAAAATTTTCTTTTGTAATATCTGCCATTAACAATTCAAAATAAAAACAAAAAATGCAACATTGGCCCTTTAATATGTCCGTTGTATGTCGAAGCGCCATGAAAATACTCCAATTTTTGGCAGTTTGCGAGTCGTTCCGTATCTAGCAAACATCTTAAAATTAGTCGAGCAATGGGTAAATTAGAAAGCGTCCTGAGGAACGTTCCCATAAATATTATTTACGGAAGAAGTTGCGCAGTGATTCATAAATAAGTGAGAAATATTTAAAACGGCGGCAAGTGTGAGGTTAGGATCCTAACCTTTTGACAGGTCGAGCTCCACGCAGTTGTCCTCGTGATCATGTCTACCTGCTATGGGAAGAAAACAATAATAATTTATTAACCCATTTGGGAGAGAAGATTACGTTCGAGGCTGCTTATCGAGTAAAAACATACGTCTTTGAGGCTTTCTCGAACGAAGTCTTCGATTCCAAATCATCCAGCTCGAGATGGCCATAATTATATTGGCTGCCGGTACTAGCAGCAACGACCGTAACGAGGACGTGGATAAGGTGGTTCAGTCGTCCGGGGGAGGCTCGTCCCTTTGCACTCGACTAGTCGACGACTCCGATCCTCCACCTCTTCCTCCTCGCCGATGACGATGATGGGCAACGACCTGGCGCGTGAGACCTTATCGAACATCCTTTCCACTTTTCACGGATGTTGCCCCCTTATTACGCGCGAAATACACTTGGCGGTCCAGACACCCGCTACTTCTCCAACTCTCGAGCACCACGAAACACTACTAATGCCCCGTTGAGGCTACAAGGAAAGCCGAGACGAAATACGCACGCATACTATTATTGATAAATCAAGTTTTAACTTTGAGTATATACATGCGCATACGTACGGTCACGGGAAAGCTTTGCTGTGACAAGAGGATGCAAGCGACTGATTTACATATGTGTGTGAAGCTGCAGCGCAGCCGTATACCTAATAGTACCTACTTTACTTCGAACTCGAGCGCATTGAACGTCTCTCTCTCTCTCTCTCTCTCTCTCTCTCTTTCATTTTCGTTCGCTTCCCCTCTTTACCACGGCCAGCGAAATGCAATAACACGCACACAAAGAAAGATAATTGGCTACAAGCGCAAGTCTGTTCCCTTTAATACAAGTCTCTTCTCAATACAAAGACTATTTTCGTATATTTTTGCTCATTTCATCGTGATTTCATATTCTCATATTATTGAAAGTTATAACCTCGTCTTATGTCATTATTTATATGCTATTATAATTTTTATTCTACTTTTTACGAGTATATATTAAATTTAAACCGCTTAACAAAAAAATGTATATTTCTTAGTGTTGAGGTAAAAAGTTTCATTTAAATTTCGATAATATGTAGGATGATAAATTAAAAGTAATATAGTTGTTAAATCATAAAAATATTATACAAGTAATAAGGAAGATAAACTTTCATAAGTGTTAATTTATTTCGATTTTATTTTAAACAACCATAGTTGATAAAAAACATTAATTTTAGAAATAAATCAATTATTTTTTCACATTTTTATACAAATTTATGTATAAAAACATATTTTAAATCGAGTTGCTTCTTAAAAATTTATTTACAATCCAGATTTATAAATATATATATATATATATATATATGTGTATCTATATACATACACTTAAAAACCCAAACATAATAATAATTATTGTTTTAAGAGTTTATAATAATCACTTATTTTTCTTATATAAAAACATTGCATAGTACTAATTTATTTTTTCTTTATCATAGAAGTTATTTAATGTTTTATTCTTAAAAGAATAATTTTCATTTCAACAAATGATAATTGGAAAGTGTAAGCAAATATATCTTGCTTATTTTTTTTATCATTCATAAAGTAAATATTGCTTTAAACTATTAAACTATATATTCTACAAAATTTGTTTCTTGGAGCAGAAATAAAAATAAAATAAAAATACATATTGGCAATGAACGAGGATCAAGGTATTGGCATATTTCTTGCGGTGCACCACCTAGAAATTGTTCGAATAGATGGAAGTGGCATATTCTGATTTAACAATTCCTCGTATCCACGAATTCCACATTCTTCTTTTAATTTTATTGCCTTCATCATTGTTTTATGAGACCAAGCAGTTATAGACTTTGGATTAGTGTGCCTTAATTCAAGAGCTCTTATTTGATCTTCGGTAAAGACATCTGCCAAAAATGCTTTATAATCACTATTCTGCTCTTTTATCAATTGATGTATTTTATGATTCATTAAATTTAATTTTTTTCTTAAAGCGTTATTTAATTTTAACTGCTTTAATAAAAGTTTATCCATTTTATCAAAACGTTCATCCTCTATTTTTTTTGCCTGTGCTTTATTTAAAATAATGCCAGATGTCTTTGCTGTTAAAGTTGGTAGATGGGTTACACTTTTTAGTTCGGTCCTATTAATACTAGAATTGACACAATTTTTTGTTGAAAGTGATTCGGAATTTGGTGCATCTGATTCAACTTTTGGAATGACAGCATTAGTTACAATTGTTGAAGTTACTTGTGAACTTGTAGTTTGTACTTCTGGATTAAGAACACTAGTTGTCATGGGAATCAATATTGGTTGAGTATTCGTAGTTTTTACTTGAATTGCATTGGTTAAATTCATAGAAGTCAATTGTGAACTTGTCATTGTATTTTGTGATTTAAGAATACTTGTAGTTGCAGGAATTATTATTGGTGTTTTACTATTTGCAGCTTTTATTTGATTTTTTAAAATACTGGCATTCGTTGAAATTATCATTGGTGATGATTGTGTGTTGGTCGTTTTTATTTGTGGCTTTAAAATACTAGTTACTCCGGATATTATTGGAGATGAGTGCGAGTTAACAATTGTACCTTGGCTATTGACTATAATGGCACTTGTGGGATTTATTGATTGAGCTCCAAAAATTGTAGAGGCAGGAAGTAATATTGGAGTAGGTTGTGAATTACTAGAATTAGCTGGAGGTATAATTTTAATCAGTGTCTGATTATTCGAAAGAACAATACTTTTTAAAGAATTATTATGCAATGACTTTGCATCTTTATCTTCATCGATATTTTTGTCAGATGAACCCTATAACAATTATAATTTCATATATTACAGCTAATAAATCAAATTAGATTACATACAGTTATATCTGTATTTTTAAGTATTAGTGGTTTTAATACCATAGTCTCTATCGTAAGATGATCTTTTACTATGCGATCTCCAAAAATAGTTGGTACTGCGTTATATTTTAATTTACGTGAACCGTCAACTCTGGTTTTTTCCCACATGCTAGGAGCAAAATGAGCCTATAAATTTCATTTTTTATTAAAAGCCCGTAAATACATTTGAAAATGAAATATAATATATAATATTTATTAACGAAAATTTTTGTTAAAGAATAAGCTGACTAAATATCTTAGACAGTAATTTTTACCTCGCAGACACGATGCGAATGATTAGGAGACCAATTTGATCTGTTAATGTTTCTAATCCACTGCAGCCGTCTCTTATCATTTTTTGGAAAACATTTTAGCAAATATCCTTTTGCTGAAGAATTTTTACATGTTGGTACACAACAACTAGGCATTTTTATCTACGAAAAATTGCAGTATTAAAAATATTAAAAAAAAAATATATATATAAAGAATTTATTAACAATATTAATTGCACTCCAATAATAAGATAAAATATTTTAATAATATAATTTTATGATATAGAATTGCTATTGAAATACATCTTACCTTTATATTGCAAATCACTATCAATGTGATCTACTTAATAAGAATATTATATCCTCATTACTTAATAAACAAAGTAACCAATTAAAAATATTATCTATTTACTAGTTATTTTAACAAACAAATTTTACATAAGTCAATTTCTTATTGAACACTCGGTACCCATACAAGTTTAAGCTGAAAACTAGAAAATATTTTTAGTAATAAAAAAATCAAGCTTCAATATCCATTGACTATCGATAATTAGAAAAATTTAATAAATTTAATTATATAAATAAAAGTGATTTTAACTAGATAAGGTGATGTACAATTAAATTGTACACTTGATATTTCATTAATTAATTAAAAATAAATATTATATAATTTATTCATTAATTAAAGTAAAACTAACATTATACAATATTGTATTTCTATTTGGTACCCAGTGTTTTTGTATAATCCATAAAGACCATTGAACAAGATTAGATAGAAAACTATTCATTTTAAATTTTTTCATTAAAGAATGAAAACATCTTTTGTATGTACAATTGGACATATTTATTCTATAAGTTTTCTCTTTTGTAAATTCTACTGGACTAATTAAAAATTTAATGGCATCTGAAATTAATAATAAAAAGTTTGAATGAATTGTAACATGATTATGAATTATAATATATATATATATATATATATATATATATATATATATATATATATTATAATTTATTATAATTTGTTTAAATATATTAGTCATACTGAAATTTTAAGTTTTTATTTTAAAATTTATAAAATATTTGCGCAAAAGCTTATTTTATTGGTAAGAAGTTTAGGTTATTATAATTTAAACTTAAATTAAAAAGAAAAAAAAGTTTTAAAATGGAGTTAAACTTTAAAATAAATTAACATCGGCGTTAAATTTCATTTGTACATATACCTTATTATTATTTTTTGTTGTTATATTTTAATAACAACGTATATAATGTTTGAAAAAAAATTAAGGAGCCTGCATTAAACAAGAACATTTAGCATTCAAACAATTCATAAACAAAAAAAATCGAGAACATCCTTAAAAATAGCACTAATAACGACTAATTAATCAAAAATTTTCATTTTCCTGGAAGTCCTTAAAGGAATTTCACAATTTAAGTTTATTGTGTTGTCGTTGGATCTTTCGCTCCTTATTATTCTTTGCTGCTATGTTCACATTATACTGAAATGATTCATATTAATAACAGGTTTATTTGAATACTTGAACTTAGCTCCAAAATAATGTTGTAACAAGTAAAAGAAGATAAGTGCAACGTAAGAAAAATTTACTCTGGAGTGCTTATACAGAAATGCTATATACAGATTGGAAACTCAACAGTTTAGTTCAGTTATTATAATTTTTTGACAGTACAATGAGTCGAGATTTCCACTGGTTACCAAATATACCAAATATACGGTAGATTTAAGCAATTAAAAATATTAAAACTTGTATATTCTTCCTTAGAATAATATTTTTATAATGATTTAACGAACATTTAATATAACGATTTAACAAACTTTATTTAACAAATACTTTAATATAATATTATACTTTTATTTATTTGATGGTGCAATTCGCATCAAATGAATTATAATTTCTTTTGTGATGTATAATTACAAATTATTTACTTTATTAAATTAAAATGCGTAAATCTATTATAATCATAAATTCTTATATATTAATTAAAAACATTGTTTCTCGTATGGCCAAGTCTAATTAACTCCTATCCAAGCAAATGTTTAAGAACAAAATTAAAACGTATGGTAAAAATGTTTTGATTACATCGGATGCGCGTGATGACACGCGTTCTAATACGTACACAATTAATAAAATAAACATCGGTAATATTACTGTACCCTGTAGCGATAAACTTCAATGATTTTATATGCCGTTTAAACACAAATACTGCAGATAGACCTTTTTTTTTTTCTTTTTAACTTTGATACAATTAAGTTTAAGACTTGATTTCTAAAACTAATATATAGGAGAGTAAATTTTAAGTTATTATTAGGGCTCCATTATTAGATCTATTATGCTTGTGCAACTAATTAACTAACCTTAAATATAATTAACATTACAAAATAAACTGTAATATAAAATTGTTTAATTTATGAACATAAATGTGCACACGTGCAATAAACACATATGCTTGAAATATATTTCATTATGTAGATATTTAAACCGAGGCACTTATCGAAAGATTTATTGTATATAATAAATACGAACGAGTAGCGATTGGGTTTTATATAATTTCAAATTCGTATTTAGACAAATTTGTAAAATATATTTTCTATGCATTTATTCGAAGAACAAATTTGATAATTATATTTAAGGAGTAATTAATAAATGTATTTTTTTATGCACACAATTGCTGATGATTGGAATTTCGCGCCTTGTATTACGGTGAATGGCTACCGCTATTTGTAGTTCTTGTACATAAGCTGACGTGTCGGATATTTTCATGAAATTTCTTTCCATTTCAGAAAAATGAATGCTTTTAAACGTGATAAAAAGGAAGATGAAGATGGTAAGAAACATTTTGAATTTAACTATTTGCATGTAATATATATGAATAGTGTTGAAATAGCGATTGATAGAGTAGAAGTAAGGTTATCGTTGCATTTCTCTTTAAACGGATATCAAACGCAATTATTCATATATAAATGAATTAGTTATTAATTTTTTCGGTTTAAGAAATATATTAACTTCTAATTTTTAATACTTTTTATCTCAAAAAGGAAGCAATCAATTTCAAAATTTGGAGAAGACTACTGTGCTGCAGGAAGCTCGTACCTTTAATGATACACCAGTGAATCCAAGAAAATGTGCTCACATTTTAACAAAAATTTTGTATCTTTTAAATCAAGGTGAACAACTTGGGACAACAGAAGCCACAGAAACTTTCTTTGCTATGACAAAACTTTTCCAATCGCGTGACGTTGTACTTCGACGCTTAGTTTATCTAGGCATAAAGGAATTAAGCTCCATCGCGGAAGATGTTATTATTGTTACATCAAGTTTGACCAAAGATATGACGGGTAAAGAAGATCTTTATAGAGCAGCTGCCATACGTGCTTTATGCACTATAACAGATGGAGCAATGTTGGCTGCCATAGAAAGATATATGAAGCAAGCTATCGTCGATCGATCCGCAGCTGTGTCGAGCGCTGCATTAGTATCGTCGTTACATTTAACGACTGTTTCAGGAGACGTAGCTAGGAGATGGGCGAATGAAGCGCAAGAGGCATTGAATTCAGATAATGTGATGGTCCAATATCATGCTTTAGGTGTTCTTTATCAGGCAAGAAAGTCTGATAAACATGCGGTTATCAAATTAGTTGCTAAATTAATGAGGTCTAGTCCTAAAAGTTCTTACGCAGCGTGCATGTTAATAAGAATGGCCTGTAAGCTTGTCGAAGAAGTTGATGAAGGATCAGAATTTTTGGAATTTATAGAATCTTGCATACGTCACAAATCAGAAATGGTTGTTTACGAAGCTGCCCATGCGTTAGTTAATCTTGGAAGGAGCGGCACAAGAGAGATCGCATCAGCCGTCAGTGTATTACAGTTATTTAGTGGATCTCCTAAACCAACGCTTCGATTTGCCGCTGTTCGCACACTTAACAAAGTAGCAATGTCTCATCCGGCGGCAGTAATCGCGTGCAATTTAGATTTAGAAAATTTAATAACAGACTCTAATAGATCGATCGCCACTTTGGCTATTACAACCCTACTAAAAACAGGAGCAGAAAGTTCAGTAGATCGTCTTATGAAGCAAATTGCAACATTTGTATCAGAAATTTCTGACGAATTCAAAGTAGTCGTTGTACAAGCTATAAGGTATTATCTTTATCTTTTGTACTTATGCTTCTATAATATCATTATTATACCAATATTACTCTCTCTAGTAGTATTTCATTAACATCAATTTATAATTTGTTTTATATGGAAACATAATGAAATAATTCTATAAGCATATATTATAATGTCATCCAAGCTCTTGTTTTATTGATAATGACATTTATTCTTATATTGTAACTGCATATATAATGCAATCTGAAAAATATTTACAAATGGTAAAATATATGTGAATCAATGATCGAATTTATTTTACAGGGCCTTGTGCCAAAAGTTTCCACGAAAACATGCGGTGCTGATGAACTTCTTGGCAGCTATGCTGAGAGACGAGGGTGGTCTAGAGTACAAGGCAGCCATAGTGGACACGATAATCGCAGTGATGGAAGGCAACGTGGAAGCCAAGGAGGCCGGACTCGCGCACCTCTGCGAGTTCATAGAGGATTGTGAGCACACTTCCCTGGCGGTGCGCATCCTTCACTTGCTGGGCCAAGAAGGCCCGACCTCGAAACAGCCCTCGCGCTACATCCGCTTCATCTACAACCGCGTCATCTTGGAGAGCGCGAGTGTACGGGCGGCAGCTGTCACCGCTCTCGCACACTTTGCGGCCGCTTGTCCCGCCCTCTTGCCCAACATCCTTGTCCTTCTCTCACGCTGCCAACTGGATTTCGACGACGAGGTGCGCGACCGCGCCACATACTACTGCACGATTCTTCAACAGAACGCCGACCCAGCGATACTACCCCTCGTTCAACCACCTCAGCTCTCCATACCGAGCTTGGAGAGAGCTTTGCGCAATTACGTCAGATCCCCCATGGACGAGGAATTCGACATTTCCCAGGTGAAATACGTAATACAATGAATTAGGTGGTAGTTTTAAAAGATTTTTCGTCTTCGCTTATCCGTACCATTCTTTGCATCTTTGATCCAAACATTAGTTTGTTTTTGTTTACACGATAGGATTTTAATAGACAGAACTCCATAGAATTCTTAATAGAAAATGTAACATAGGATAATTCATGACTTTAGAACAAATGAGTGTGCTAAACAGTGGTAGCTTCGTCATATTTGAAAAATAAACCAATCATGCTAAAATTAGTAAATATATCACCTGACACAACGATGAAATAATTCCAAGTGACATTTTAAAATTATTATTCATTAATTTAAAGTAACTTTTAACGTTTATCACGTTTAATATAAGAAGCAAAGGTATATAATTTTGAAATTTTCATACTAGTGTAATTAATCCATTATTCCAACAAGTAATCAGAAAATTTTAAATTATGCCTTTGCAACTAAAAAGCATAAATTTTTTAACATTTTCTTTTGCAGATTCCTCCGGCACAAGCGATTGAAGAACCCGCGCAAGAAGTACTTGCAACGGTCAAGCCACAACAACCGAGATTAACGAGAGAAGAAAATTTCATGGAGAAGCTCCTGCAAGTGCCAGAGCTATCAGCAATTATTCACGACTCAATTCTATTCAAATCATCGACAGTCTTCGAGCTTACGGAATCGGAGACCGAATACAATGTCAAATGTATCAAGCACTGTTTCTCGGATTATCTCATTTTGCAGTTCGATTGCCTGAACACTCTATCAGATCAATTTCTCGAAGACGTACGAGTCACTGTTGACAACCAAGATATGTACGTATTTTTACAAATATCTCATATCTTTTAGCATTGATCTCGAAGTCGCGCGCATTCACCAGCTTTTCTAACTCATTGATTTTACAGTTATACAATTGTGTGCGAAGTACCGTGCGTCCGCTTGCCTTACAACGAATTAGGCTCAACCTACACAGTACTGAAATTCCCCGAGGATATTCAGTCGACTATTATAACCCTACCCACGACGTTGCGTTTTATAGCCCACGATTGCGATCCGTCAACGGGAATCCCGGACGCCGAACAAGGTTATGGTGACGAGTACACGGTAAGTCTTTCGCCGAATTATTAAATATAAGAAATTATAGAAAGTTAAGCCTATTAATATTAAAGAACACGGTTAATGTTAGAAATTCTTATATTAAAATTAAAGTATCAATGTCGACAATGAAATTTACCGTCGGGAGAGGAGAAATTTTCTACGATACATTTATTTCCATATAAATTTTCAGACAATAATTATTAACTTTGATGCGCGAATACTGTGCTTGACAGAACAATACAAGCAGCAAGTAGAACGGGGCCGAGAATCATTAACTTAAGAATTAAAAATTCTCCAATTACTTTGCAGCTGGAAGACCTAGAAATAACGGTGCGAGATCAGGTACGTGGCACGGGTTCCCGCAACGTCGACTTCTCGAGCTCGTGGGAAAACGCGGCGACGCGGGGATTCGTCACAACTGAGCAGATCTTTGGTTTGGGTGCGAACGTCACCACCCTGGAGGAGGCGATACAGAGTCTCGTGATGTTTCTCGGGCTTGAGCCTGTCGAGAGATCGGACCGCATAAAGTCTGGCGCGAGGCAGCATACGCTTCTTCTAACCGGCGTCTTCCGCGGTGGCAAGGAAGTCCTCGCGAGGGCAAAACTCGTGCTCACTAATCACGTCACAATGCAGTTCACCGTACGATCGCAGGACCTTGAAGTCGCCGAGCTTATGATTTCATCGGTTGGCTAAATGAAGAAGATTACTAAACCAAGTTTATTGAAAATAATGCTTTCGCGATGTCGCACGATCAGCAAATCCAAGAACACTCAAGATTGTTATTACACGCGTGGTGATGAGACTAGTGATCGGCTCGCACATTGTTGATCTTATGAACTCTATTATTATTATTATTACTACTACTACTACTACTACTACTACTATTATTACTACTACTACTACTGCTCCCACTACTACTATAACTATTATTATTATTATTATTCCAAGAATAAATTCTTTAGTGTAAGTGTATTGTATTTTTTATTTAGCTTATTAAATAGTTTAGAAAAATATTGTAAAAGCAAATATGCCGTAATTTGGTATATTCCCTCGACATAAGAATGTATAATATAATTATTATGAAATGAACAAATGCATAAATGTCTTCTATTAATGAAATTAAAGATTTATGTAAATATTACTTGGTCTCTTTTCTACTTATAGATGAGTTATTACATTCCTATATGGTATAAGCAATAATTTTATTTTCATTTTTAAATGTTATTAATTTTACGTAAAAGTTTCTAGAAATATTCAATAAAAATTTACAAAAAGTAAAGTCTTTAAAATTTTCATGAAGTAATTTTAAGATTGGTATAAAAAATTGTGCAACTCGATACGAGAGCTGTGCATCCATTTAATATTCGTAGATTAAATATATAAGAGATATTTCTTTAAAATTACCCACAGTTCTTGAACTTAATTTTTATTTGACATAATTTAATTTTAATTAGTTTGAATAGCGCTCACTACGTTTATTCATATAAAATATATTTATATAAATGAATAATGTATTCTTAAAATAAAGATGTTTGTTTGGGATTGTTAACAAAATTATTTAATTTTTAAATTTTAACGGACGGTTAAAGAGCTATAAATTATTTTACATCAACTTTAATAAATAAATATTACCTATCATATTAAATTGATTTAATTTTTAATTCAATTGTATTAAATATATCGCCCTATGGTTTATACTGTTGCAAATTTTTAAAATCACAAAATACTCGAACATAAACACATTTAAATAAATCATTATAAATCAATTTGAATTTTTAACAATCTTATATTATCAAACGAATATTTCTTATTTTGTATATAATGATTTATATAAATTTGTTTAAAAAAATAACTACAACTATTATTTCTTTTACAAAAGAATATATAAAAATTGTTTATGCAATTTTTAATTTTTTATTCTAAGTCTAAAAATTTTTATCCAAAACCATTTCTTTACAGTATTTGTTATAGAATAATAGTTAAAAAAATTTCTTTTAATTTTTCTTAATTTTCTTTTAATTTTCGCATATTAAAAAAAAATACGTACTATTATAAATTAATAAAAAATTTTCTTTTTATAATTAAAATACATATAATTTATTATAATTGATCAAATAAAATTATTTAAAGTTGTTTAATTTAAGTATTTTTAATATTTTATTACATAAATATTTTTAGATAAGAAGTCTTTGGTATAAAATAATTATACATTAACAATGCCAATACTTTTTATAAATAAGTGCTTGTAAATACTGAATTTTACATAAATAGTATTGCAATATTTTACTGAATTTGCATAAAATCAACGATGTACGTACAAATCTAATACAATTATAACACAATAATTATTTACACATCCTACTTTGTTATGTTAATTATATAATTATTATATATTTGCATCATTGTCAAATTACTATCAGTATGTTAGTAATTAATATAACTACGCTTAATATAATTAATAAATATAGATAGAATATTATCTTTTATAAATACATATGTATACACATAATGTTAAAATGATAAAAATTTTATCAAATGCATAATTTATGAATTTATCGAGTCGAGAGATTCACAGCTTTTAATTTTGATGAAATTGTCAAAAAATTAATTTTATTATTTTTACTTAAATAAAATAGTTATTTTTATAGTTAATTATTTATTTTTAAATATTCCAAGTTATTATAGCATATAAAATGTCTGAATAATTAATGTACAGTGGTGGTAATTGCATAGACACACAATTTTCATTAATTATCCAATACTAATGAGTTTATTATTATACGTGTGTGCAATGAGTATTATGTAAATGAACATGAAGTAATATCGATTTGAAATACATCTAAAATAAATCATAAAATAAATTCCCTTGGATAATAAGTATTAATAGCGTTAATAAAATCATCATATATAAATGAAATAAGGTTTTAAATATTTTGGTTATTAGTAAGCTCATGTGATTGATGGAAATATAGAATGAATAAAACATAAGAGCCTTAGAACAATAAAAAATAGTAGGAATCGTTGAGTTTTTTATATGCGCGTTTCTCAATCTATTTATTTAATTTAATGCAAGACGTTCTATTTGTACATAATTTACTGAAAAATGATATATATCACAAAAGTCCTACTTAAGATCCGTTGCTTTTCTTTATTTGATAGATGTTATAAGTTTATCTACGAGGTGTTTTATCGCAATGGTTTGTCTGTTAATTTCATGAATCTGTCCGATTGCTTTATTTATTGGAAAAATTAAGCCATTTAAATAAATATCACAATAGTTTTTGTATATAACTGCACATTTTTTTTTATTAATTTAAATAATATATATTTTTATAGTTATATATACTATATTTCTCTGCCTCATATGGCACCACTCATTATTATAGTATTGCTTTAGTTGTATTCAAATTTCATTTTCTTATATTAATAGATTTATTTAAGGTCGATACTTTACTAATTTAATAAATACAATAAACCTAATTCCAAAGGAAAATTTAAAAATTTCAAATATTTATAATTGTAGTATTGAAATTATTATCAGTGTATTATTTTATGTGAAAAGATAAGTGATATCATTTATTATTTTGAAATTAATGTTCATATTTACTACGAACTATTTACTTACATCTTAATAAATATTGAAGTAATACTTTGGTTTTCAATGTGTATTTTCTCTTGTATATAATAAATAAACAGAAAATGTTTTCTACATATGCACATACCTATATATAAATCCTTATGAATTATAAAAATAATAAAAGAAAAATGAAACACCTATACTTTCCTTCCCACTTTTTATTTGTCGTATTAAAAATTTGCACAAGATCCATGAAATTTTCCACAGAATATTTAGTAAAATTTGTGCCTCCTAATTGAATGTGAAAAGTTCAAAGACTTTACTATCCTTCATCGTACATGACGGATGGTATTCTGTTAAATTTATTTTAATGTGACCCATAGTTTATACATCAGAACTTAATGTGCGTATTGGATATATTAATATAAATTTTGGAGTAATCTACGGTAACGCGTAAAATAAAGTACGGTAATGCGAAAATAAAAAAATAATTACATTTAACACATGTTGTTTGTGTAGAAAACTGGGATATCGATGCTCTAAATTTTCGCACAAAGAGGGCGTGGAATGTATTTTTCCGCTTTTACTGCGTATAATACTCTGGCGTATGCTGTTATGTATATGGACATTGTTTTTCAATTCTTGATGTCTTGTGAGAAAGTTTCATTTTTGATTCTCATCCGACTATTCTAAAATGGCTGCTGTATTAGACGAAGTCGGTAAATCTGCAGAGAAACTTGTCGACGAGGAAAATGACGAGAGTGTCGAAAAGAGCAAAAATACCGAAATCAAGGAATCAAATAAAAAGAACACCGGTACGTTTTGAAAATACAAACTGTATACGTTCTTTTCTCTTGATTTTTTTTTCCCCCCAAATAGTCGATGTTATCTATTCTGCTCTGGTTTTTTCCTCTAACATAAATTCTGTGGAAAATATCATACCATTAAATGTTACTTTAAATTTCAGCTAATTATTTTATGCTTCATTTAAAGAAAATCGCGTATCGCTAACTGCTGTTACATGTAATTTAAACATTATTTTACATCTCTAAACACGTGTTTTTGATGTTTTTAATTATTAATACATTGGTTTATTATTGTGCTCAAAAATATTATTGTTCTAGATGGTGGTGGGGGAAATGTTGATATTCCAAAGGAAGAAAATTCAAAAAATGATGCAGGTTTGATTGTTCATCATTCTATATTATTTATTGACAATTATATGATTTATTTACATTGTTATGAATAATATTTTAATTGCACAAATATTAAATACATGTACTACATTTAGTTGAGTTACATTTTTATCTGGATTATAGTTGTAATTTCTACGATTAATTATAACTTTTTTAATTGATATCAAAAGATGTTACTTGATAATTGATTTTATTTGAATTGATTATGATGAATTGATTGAGTTGATTATAATTGATTGAATTGATGAATTAAAGATTATTTAAGTGCTATGAGGTTTCAAAATTATTTTAAATTTATTGAATTTATAAGGAATATCTGTATTGTAAATATATTATTCTTAGTTCATTGATATTAAATATTTAGAAACGATTATATTTAATCTCTTATAAATCTAATTTATAAATATTTTTGTTTATATATTTATACATTTATATATTTTTAATTTTATATATAATTAAACTCAGAATTAGTAGATGGAGGTGAAAATGAAGAAGATACAATTGAAAATGGTGGGGACACTGATAATAAAAAGAAGAAGAAAAAACGCAAGAATAAAGGAAAAGGGGCAAATAAAGATCCCATAGCATTTCCTGTTGCTTCACTTTATCCGAATGGAAATTTTCCAATAGGGGAGATTATGGATTATCCACCAGCTACAGGCATTGACGAACAGAAGGCTAAAGACAGATTTAATAGCGAGGAGGCTCGTGCTCTTGACCGCATGCACAATGATATTTATAATGAGGCACGATTAGCTGCAGAAGCTCACAGACGTACAAGAAAGCACATACAAAATTGGGTAAAGCCAGGCATGACAATGATTGAAATTTGTAATGAATTAGAAGAAACTGCTCGAAGACTTATTGGAGAAAATGGCCTTAAGGCTGGTCTAGCTTTTCCTACTGGCTGTTCAAGAAATCACTGTGCAGCACATTACACACCAAATGCTGGAGATACAACAGTTCTTGATTACAACGATGTTACAAAAATTGACTTTGGTACACATATCAATGGTCGTATTATTGATTGTGCATTTACCCTAGCATTTAATCCAAAATATGATAGGCTTATTGAAGCTGTTCGCGATGCTACAAATACTGGTATCAAAGCAGCGGGAATTGACGTACAACTCTGTGATGTTGGTACTGCTATTCAGGAAGTTATGGAATCTTATGAAGTGGAGATAGATGGAAAAACATATCAGGTAAAAATTATCTTTATATTGATGAAGTTATTTATACTATTTGTTCTTTTTTCTGAACACAAATGAATAAATTATAAAATAAATCTTAAAAAATACCAAAGTAATTAAAAATGTTATTAATAATTTTATTTGTTAAACATTTTTAACGATATCATTTTGTTTGAGATACTTTCTATATCTTTATTCTTACATATGTTAACAATTATAAGGATTTTTTTAAATAAAATTTTATTTTTATTATTATATTTGTAGAATAAAGATATTCAGTATATTTGTGTTGTACTCTATGTCATTAAGTTTCATACTCAGATTTAAATGTTAAATATTTATAAAAAAATGGTTTTGAATTTTTTAATACATATAAAATTAAAATTATCGATCATATTTTATTTTTAACTGAATATTACAGAAATAATTTTATTTTTAGAAAAACTCGTTTCAAAATGTTAATTTTGATAAATGTTATAGAAAATTTTATAATTTTAAACAATAAATAAACATAAAATAAACATTTTAAAACATAAAATGAATATTTTTAAATTGTAAAAAAAAAATTTTTACAAAAAACAAAATTATGAATAATATTTTTTTCAAATGATTTAATAGTTTAATGTATTTAGTTTTATTTTCATTTTTATTGGAAAAATATGTAAAATTGATTGATTTTTCTTTGTAAACAGCTTATTTACTTTATGTAATAATATAGACATATATTATTTTTTATTTTAGAATATTTATTTAATAAGTTAAAGATTTGCATTTTGAAATCATTAATATAAGTAATTTCATTTAGATAATGCTAGCACCTCCTTATTTTATTACAGTTATTTGAACGTAATTTTAATTTATTACAGGTTAAATCTATCAGAAATCTGAATGGTCACTCAATTGCACCGTATCGTATCCATGCTGGAAAAACTGTGCCGATAGTGAAAGGTGGAGAAGCTACTAGAATGGAAGAAAATGAATTTTATGCAATTGAGACTTTTGGATCAACAGGCCGGGGTATTGTTCATGATGATTATGATTGCTCTCATTATATGAAGAATTTCTATGCTGGCTTTGTTCCATTAAGGCTGCAAAGTAGTAAATCACTTCTTAATACAATAAATAAGCATTTCAGTAAGTGTCAATTAGTATTAAATATTAATGTTCAGCTTTGAATCAAAATATGTAGAACGAAATTTTTTAAATGCAGACATCAAATTTTTTATTACTTTTATAAATACCATAGTTATTGATATCATTTACATTTTTTACATAATTTTAATATTTATTGACGTATATTAAGATAATTTTTATAATTAAACAGGGTGATTTTGATTCTAAGATGTTCTTCAAATTTACAATTTATAAATACATTTTTTCGAAATACAATTCTAATTATATTTATTGTCTAATTCTTAGGTACGTTAGCATTTTGCAAACGTTGGTTAGATCGTATTGGTTGTACCAAATATCAAATGGCTCTTAAAGATCTTTGTGATAAGGGTACAGTCGAAGCTTATCCTCCGCTGGTCGATGTGAAAGGATCTTACACAGCTCAGTTTGAGCACACAATTGTTTTACGACCTACGTGCAAAGAAGTTATTTCTCGAGGAGATGATTATTAAGTTCATGTTTTGAAGAATTATCAACTTAATTGTCAAAGTTTTATACTTTCTATGCCTACACGTAAGCGAAATTTCAATGGAGGGAGAATAAGCTACAATGTAAATTTTTTTTGTATTTATAAAGTAAACCGCGTCAGCAGGCAATCTGACTAGTGACAAAAAAGATTAACGGTGAAAGATATAACTTGTGGCATTAAAGTTGATAGTTTAATTTGTTTCTATTCTTATAATTAAAAGTTTGTCATTGTTTTTCCCCTTTCGTAATTTATGTTTACATATATTACGTATGTACGTAAAGATATACTCTGTATTATTAGATTTGCGTGTGAATTGATTTCCTTTTCTCTTAGTTATATTGTTTTCTTACGAGAAATGAAATCGGGAAAGATAATACTTAAATCCAATAAAATAATTTCAATTTTTATTTGACTTTTTGACAATAATATTATTTCCTTCATATCTATGTAATTCTAGTAGTTATGATGGATAATTTACATAAATGTAGAAAACAACAACAGCAAAATTATGCTTTGCCACTTCGGTTTGATAAGTTTTATTATTTAATTAATCTTAAATTAACCCCGGATTTTAAATTCTACGAACTGCAGAGACATAACCGGCCTAGTCATTACAGCTACTAATACACTCTAAAGAAATATAGTACAAGTAAGGCCTTGATCGAAGAAGACTCAAGATTCAGCTGCTGTTCATTTTATAACATGTTCGATTCTTGCACCTTTTCATTTACTCTTTCTGAGCTGGTCCCAAATTCCAAAATGTCGATCGTTGTTTATACACTTTAAATAATTATTCGCGGTTTTCCATCAATATAATCTCTCGTTCTTCATTAACGGACGTGTTGAGCGTCGAATTTTTTGAAATTAAATGGGATATTCGTACAAGTACGAAGTGTATAAATATAATATTGTAAGGTAAGGTTAAAAGGGTTTACGCAAGTTTTTTTTCTCTTTTTTTCATTTTGAGTTATTTACACATTTAGAAAGTACAGTCGCGCTAAAGAAGTGTAAGATATTTTGCTGTATAATATATACTTTTTGTGAACGTTCACGATTTGCAGCGTAGTGCTTTTTCTCGTAAAATAAAATCGATTTTTTTGTAGATGTTTAAATAGCTGTGCTTCATTGTGAATCCATGCATCGCCGTAATTTCGCCCTTGCGGTTGCTAAGGGATTTGGTGGCTCCGTCGGTTGAGGCTGTTGCTGTAGATAAAATAAGAATTCATGTATATGTTGTTAATAATAATGTCTTTCAGTAGAACGTTGCGATTAGTAAGTTATCATTGTGTACCGAGACTATGCTTTGCACATATACAGAAATAATTTCTTTTGAAAGAAAACGTGCTCAGCTTATCAATCCGTGTTAGAGGTTTAATAGTATGTAAATATGTAAACTAGTTTTAATGTATTTTTTTCTCTTTAAAAATAAATATTAGTATTTTGCATTAAATTTTTATCCATAATAATTAAAAATATTGGGTAACAAAATAATTTTAAAAATATCGATACATACATTTTAGCTATTGATTAGAAATATTTTTTATAATTTTAAAGTATTTTCTGTAAAATTATAAATTTCATTCCAAAAAATTGCAATTGTATTATAGTACTTTATACATAAAAATACAAAAAAAAAAATAAATATATTTTTAACAAATTTAATAAAGTTCAGCTTTCATATTAAGTAAAATATTACAAGATATTAGTATTACATTATAGAAGAGATAAAGGCAAATGAATGAACAAATGGAAGAAATGGCATTTACCGAAAGCTGTATGTGCTTTGCTCTTTGCTCAATGGCTCGTTGCAAAGCTGTTCGAGGATCATTTTTGTATGACTCTTCTTGATTTCTCTCAGCTTCTTTGCGAGAAACCATTTCTCTGTGTCTTTCTAAGGCTCGTTGAAGTTCACTTTTTTGATTAAGAACATTTTTTCCTCTGCAAATGAATAAAATATCTGTTATTCAAATAATATTGTAAATTATATTAAGAATAATTATGATTCCACAATTACTGAACTTTACGTAATTAAGGATATTAAATTTTAAAATACAATTGTTAATTTATCTAAAGATCGTTTAATGTTAATTCAATTTATTAATTCAATTTATTCATGCAAAAGTGTGTGCTAGTTAGTTTAAAAAATTGTTAGTCGGTAATCATGAAATTATCAATTAAATACTTTTGTTTTTATTATTTTAAAAAATATTTGATTTAGAGTTTGATTTAAAGATAGACGCATCAAACAACAAATAACTAAAACATTAAAAAGCTGATTAATTATACATATTTCAGTTTTACTTATTAATAATTTCATTTTAATTTAATATTACTATATATATTTTACATGAAATTTCATTTATACAAATATGGTATCAGTTTAATTATGGAAAGTTAAAATAAAATAATTTTTTAAGTGTCTTGAAATGATTTAAATTTAATTTGATGATTATTTTTTTACAAAAACACTTTATTACTTTCAGAACTATTATCAAGTCTTTGTTAAATTTATTATAAGTATAATATGATATTACAGGATTCGAAGAAATTGAAAATAATTTATCATAAATAAATGAAAGGAAAATTATTTCTTTTTATTATGAGAATTATATTTTGTAATTAAAAATGTAATCAAATATTATTTTGAAAACGAAACTTTTACTTTTGAAAATATTTGTATGCTATACGGTTAATTACATTTTACAATCACATTCACTCAATAAGAAATATTAAAAAAAACAGCTGTATTGTTCGATTTTAATAATTATAGTTTACTATTATTATTTTGACGAATTTATAATATTTAAAACTATTATAGTTTTCTAAAATTTATTAATGATGAGATTGAATATCAATTAAGAAAATATAAACAAATATGGAAGAAAAAAATTAATTTGTATTAATTTTTGAGCATTAAATTAAGTTATTTAATTAATAAGAATTAAAAAATTTTATCAGCTTTATCGTAGAAATATGATTTGCCATACATTTTTTGGTTGAATAGCAACTCCCTATGAAGATCTTTATGGCTCGTGGAAGTTAAGCACGGATTGTATGGTTTCCGGGGCAGAATTAAACCGTCTGGACCCATATGCGGTGCAGGTGGTGGAGGTGGCGGTACACCTAAAACAGGCGCCATTATGTCTTTTCCTGTTAACAATAACGGCATATTTAGTTAATAATTTTGTAAAATCAAATTTCTATTCGATTAAATTATTTTAGAGTGCCAATTTTATAGATATACATTGATTTGGCATTATTTTTAAAAAGAGCATCTATAATCTTTAAACATAAAAATAATAATTTGGAACACTTTATCAATTTTTATCGACTTTATCGACACTTTTTGTTATATAATTACATTTTTGTATTCAAATTCATTATTATAAATTAGCTTTAGATGACGTTATATTAAAAGACTCATCTACAATGTTGAAACTACTCAAAATATTTTGAAAATTACGATTGTTTTGAATATTACAATGATTTAATGTAAATCGAAAATAATCGTTACAATTTAATGTAGACATGCACTGTAAATATTTATAAATTTATATAGCATTTGAATAAAGATAAGATATTTTTAATGATAAATTATATAAATATTGTAAACTAATTGTGTATAATACTGTATAACATAAGTAGTAGTTAATAATAATTAATAATAGTTAATTAATAATGTTGTCAAGTGCTTTTAATTTTATAAATCAAACGAACAATGCATGAAAAATTCAATTCATAAGCTATTCAGGAGATAAAAAAGTGGTATAAAAATGGAAAATCGTCATTAAAAATGATAAATAAAAATGCCATCAATGTAATAAGTATTTAAATAATTTGATTCGTTATTTTTTCATATATTTGAATCAGTATTTACAAATATTCTACAATTTAGAAAAGTGCATCCTTTTGGTTTCTCCCTTACAGAACAAATAAAATACAATGTGAGGCTAAACAACTTTTTTCTGAATTCAACCATTCAATAAACCATTGAAAGTACAAAATACTGGTTTAAAGTAAAAACAATAATTCTTTTAAGAACAAAAAAATCAATAAATACGTCCATGAATTTCAACTTTGAATAAACAAATACTTTTATAAATTTACGAATCACGTTTATAAAAAAATATGATTTCAAAGATAAATATATTTTTTAAATATTTTAATTGAAATGCAGGTTTATTAGAGAATAAGAGACGACGCTAATGTACTTATACAATTTTATACTCGAACGTTTCCTATCAAGTTTAACCTTTCATATTATCGAAGTGAAAATATTACACTTTACATTTATAACAAAATTAATTTGAAAACGTAAAAAATGAAAAATTGAAAGAATTAACGTTTAATACAGATTTCCGTTATTCTGAAAATAGAAGCAAACACGATTAATTACGAATTGAGAAATTATAAGGGCAGATGCCGTTGAGTACGTAAATAATAAGTAAACACAGAGCTTCGATCACGACCTTCCAAAAAGGCTATTCTCGCTCGCACCGGAACCTCCTCATCCTCCTCTTCCTCCGACTCGGACATCGTGGTCTGGGACACTGGCGACATTCTTCCGTGCACCACATACGCGGGCCTCCTCGTAAGGCTTCTCGGCTAATAGGATATGTACGTATGTGCGCCAAGGTAAAGCGCGAATGAGCTAGCTTTTTTCTTTCTTCCGATATTATGTTCAAT